GAAACAAAATGGCAATCTGACTGCCAAAGATAATTGAGAAGTTTTTCCCTGTGCTAATTTCTCTAGGCCTTCTTGGTTTTCTAAGAAGCAACCAAAAAAAAAAAAAAAAAAGTGGAAACTATTCCAGAAAGTAAAACTTGTATTTGTCGAGTGCTGACCAGTATGCTGAACGTGTACAAATGAAATGATGTGTAGTTATTCCCTACTGTAGCTTTCCACCGTTTCATAGCTCCTCATTCTCTCTCCACCACTTGTGTGAGCATTGTTTACCTAGAAGCAAGCATTGATCGCTGCTTGTGTTACATACAACCTCTGGTTCTGGAAAATAAACGGTCCCCAATAAGTAATTAAGTAGTCCTCGCAATCCTGCAAAGGCTGAAAAGAGTGCTATTTATATAGCATTTACATTGTACTCAACTTTATAAGTAAACTAGAGATTATTAAAAGAATACTGCAGTATGAGTGCAAGTTACAAGCTAATATACTATTTTACATAAGAGACTTGATCATCTACAGATTTTGGTATTGGGGGATGAGGAGGAGGTGGGTCCTGGATCCAATACCCCATGGATATCAAGGAATAACTTATTTTGTTAAGTGCCATTGTGTTGGTTCCAACTAAGAGAGACTTTATATAGGGTTTCTGAGAAGTGGCTGGTGAGTTTGAATTACCTGTCTTGCTGTTACGGCTTTTTTGATAATGGGAGAGAAGTATGGAAATATGCTATTGGTTGGATAGGAAAAAACAAAACAACAAAACAAAACAAAAAAACTTCATGTACTCTGACAGTTGAAAAAGACCAGATGAGGATTATTAGTCAGTCAACCGATAAAAAACAGTGAGCATGTTCTGTTGTTCTGTTCAAACAAAATATTTTAGTATTCTGTTCAAACAAAAGCATTTTAACCTAGTATTCTATACATACAAGTAAAGTAGAATTAATCATTGTATTTCCTGAAAATGCTTCAATGTACAAAGGGAAAAATAACCTACTTATTGTTGTTGTTGTTGTTAAGTGCCATCAAGTCGTTTTCGACCCATAGCGACCCTGTACAGGTTTTCCGAGGCTGTAAATCTTTACGGGAGCAGAACACCTCATCTTTCTCCTGCGGAGCGCCTGGTAGTTTCGAACTGCTGGCCTTAAGGTCCGCGGTCCGATCTGTAACCACTACGCTACCAGAGCTCCTTTTATATAAGTATAATTTATGAACTCTCTGTAGCACACTCAGTAGTATCCTACCCTTCTGTCATGTTATCAGTTCTTCCTGAAACAAGGTATGGCATGACAGGCATCGCCCAGGTAATTTTATAATTTAATCAATGATATACTTTTTGCTAGATCCACTTAAACTTTTAGGGAAATAAAGTTTTTAAATTCAAAATATTAACATCTCATTTCTCAAAATAAGAAATATACCATTGGGTATGCTAGTCTAAAGATAGTAAGTGCTCTTCTGGATGCGGGTATGAAAGGCTTATGAGGGCACCAGATGTTTAAAAGGATACTAGAGGTACACAGGGGCACATCAATAAGTATTCTAGTAAAGTTCTATCTTCATTCACGCATGGGTTTATTCCAAACAAAATGAGTTTAAACGTGACTCAGTAAATGCATTATAATGTGTTTAAACAAGTTCTTTCAGTAAAACATTAAGTCTTAGTGTCACAAGAGTGCCCTCCCCTCCAAAAGAAGGTCCAATTAAAACAGCGGTTTCCATGGGGATATCTGCTGGGTTGTTAAATTCAAGGTAAAGAAGTCAGCTCAGAAGGTTATGGTGATTGTTTTGTGTGGTTTTTTTTTTAAGATTCTAAAGGGGCAATCTTGATACATTTTCTTGAAGGATACAGAAAGATCACAAGGGCTTATTAGAAAGACGTTTAAGGAAACTGAAAACTGCATTAATGAGAAAAAGGTCAAGAAAATTGTGTCAAAGGTTTTGTTTTCCATCTCAATCATACACCTAATTCCTTTTTTGAGGGTAGCAAGGACTGTCTTAAAAGAATTTCTTGGGAAACCTTAGCCCTTCTACCCCACAGATCTCCCTTCAGACTTCTTTTTGTTCCCCAAATTCAAAGGACATTTCAAAGGAAAATTATTTAATTCCCTTACGGGAAATCAAACTGTATCAATTGAGTGCGGAAGTTTTCAGGGAAAGGTTAGAGAGATGGAAACTTTGCTTCAAAAGTGTATAGACCTAGAGGGGGAGAGAAAGGTATAGCCAGAAATATCACCATAGAAAGCTTGTAAATCCATCTTCTGCCTGTAACTGATTGGAATACCTAAAACAGGGCTTACATAGTACCCAGTGCTGGAGGCTTCCTGCAGAGCCTCTGCATTACATAAGACTATAGGTGGAATCCTGAACAGCATCCAGAATCTTCAGAGGTGGGAAATTTCCACTTGAGAGGATGGGCAGACCAGCCTGGGGCAACTAGAAGAACAGAAGATACTTCTTGAAAGAAAGATCGACAGGAAAAATACAAAACGATATAGGCAGACCTACTGATTACTACAAGAACAAGCAAGTTGCTTGCCCAGGAGACATCAAGGCAAGTGGTCGGGTTCCCTTAGAGTAAACCCCCTTCCAAGACTAAGACTCAATAAGAATACATGCTCTGATTGGTGACCACGTTCATCACCAATAAGGGAAAGTGAGGGAAAAGCAGCAATGAAGCTGCGAGCTAAGCCACAACGTTCAGTAGACTCCTGTGAACCCAGGTGGAGACCTGGTTAGCCAGCAGTGTGGCAACACCTGGGACTCTTGGGCTCAGAGTCAGTGACATAGCCACAGACGACTAGAGTGGAGAGTGAAGCGTCCAGCTAATAAGAAGAGAGGGCATATGCACAAGAACACCCACACTTGCAGATAATACCCACTTGACATGGCTTCAATGACTGGATGATCCGAATTCAACTAGAAGAAGGAAGAAGAGGAAAAAAAGAGTAATCTGATACAATTTGATGAATTTGACTTATACCTATGGAGGCAATAGCTAAACAGAGGGAAGACATGTTTACAGCAAGGATCATTCCCTCCCCTTCCATACACAGAGTAGACAGGAATGGGCAACTTGGACATTGGCTACCCAAAGTGGGGGGGCTACAAAGGCAAGAAGTGACTGGCTTACAATCTTTCAAGAGGGAACCTAATCCAGAGGGCGTGGAGGAAGGTAGAATCTCCACTGAGTAGTATACAATTTATCTAGGCGGGCCTGATAAAAGGAAATGCGGATAGGTCTCTTGTGATACAATAGTGAATAACTGTTATCAGGACTGACTGTGAGGGTTGGAAATGTAAAGGTAGATGTTTTCTGTAGAGGAGGGGAGTGATTAAATTTGCAGTCTAGGAGCAGAGGTCCTTGGGATCATCAAGGGAGAAGAGCGGAGAGCTCTGGGACCCTACCCAGAGAAGCAGTGATGCCAGAGATGGAGGCAGAGACTATGACGTGGAGAGATAGAACAGCTGGGGACTTTAGACCCACAGAGGGAGAGGGGCTGTGTGCTGACGACCAGGGGACAGGCTTATAGTATATATCCTTTGATTGGTTGATGATGCATGGAGGGGATTGTAACCGTGGCAATGAAATGATATACGATAGGTTGAATGTAAAATTAATGCTCTCCCATGTAAACTATCACATAATTCACAATAAAACATTAAAAAGAAAGTGTATAGACCTAGACAAAGGATATGTTGAGAACAATAGCTTCACATTTTGATATTTTTGTTTAATAAAAGGTTCTATAATTGTATAGCACTAATTTTTTACCTTGTATTCATAAATAAGTTTTTTTTCTGGATCTTAGAGCATGGATAGAATTATGCAATGTATACAGGTAGCAAATTTGACAAGGCACATTGGGGAGTATTTAAGACAAAAGAGTAGTACAAAAGCTAAAAAAAAAAATGAGTGCCACATTGTCTAGAAGCAAATCAAGGTCTAGATAGAAATGCATTTATAGTGAACTTAGATGAGCTAAGTTACACACACTAGGAAGTAGCACAATTATAGGAGAGTACATACAGGAAGATGAAACTGGCAGTAATTAATTAAATGGGTAAGATTTGAGACAGGATAGGAAAGACCAAAGAAATAGGAGGCAGGAGGCTGAGCCACAAAGCAGGAGAGTGGTGACAAAGCCCTAAACAAGAGAGTAGAAAATCAGAAAGGAGTGATGGCTATGAAAGATACTATGGGAGGAAAATCCATACACAGGACCTAGAGGACCACAATAGAGTCGATATGAATAGGAAGAGAAGATGGGGTAAAATTTAAAAAAGACAATAAAAATTTGAAAGTAGATGACCAATCAAATGCTAGGCAACACACAGAGGGCTGGATGGGAGGAAAGTTGCATTCAACAAAACTGTTTGCATTATTGATAAAGAGATGTACTTCATTACCTTGGGATTCTCTGGCTATGACCACCACCTCTCCTAATCATGTCTCTTAGATTAAGAGTCTCATATTCCTTGTATGCAGTGGCAGTCCAGGACTTCTGAATGGCATTGATAGCTTTCACAAAGTTGTGGTCATATTTGTAAGGCCTATTAGAATACCTGTGAACAAACACAAGATACTATCAAATATAATCTTATGGACGTAAACAAACGAGCACCAAAGCCAATGCCATCAAGCTGATTCTGATTCGTAACAATCCTAAATGGCAGAGTAAATGGCCCCATAGTTTCTAAGGCTGTAAATCATTACGTAAGCAGTCACATCTTTTTTCTGCAGAGCAGCTAGGGGGCTTAGACCAATGATCTTTTGGTTAGCAGCCAAGTCTATTTACATCAGAAAAATCCTGGTAGGCACTACACTATCATGATTCCTCTGATGTAAACAGACTCCATTACAACATGTATTCTTAAACTCAGTGCCAAAGCTGTATGTGGTATATTCTCTTAAAAAAAGCAATTTTGTAATATATGATTGTATATATTTTCTGTTGTCCTGCTCTTTCTTATGGCATAGGTTGCAAAGGGGTTTTGTAAAACTTTTTAGGGGGAAATGAAAACGTGATGATCTCATGTTACTACTCAATGATGACCATAGATGGCATTTTTTAAAGTTTTTATGGCATAAATACATATATTTTAACAAAAATTTTTTAATTCTACATGATCATTTTTTTTGCACTGAATATAATATGAGCTCTTATCCACACCACTAAACAATTTGTCCTGGTGTGGCGCTGTGGGTTAATGTGCTGGACTGCAAAATTGGTTTGAACCACAAAGTTGGCGGTTCAAGCTCACCAGTGGCTCCTCGGCAACCCTATACAGGGTCGCTATGGGTTGGAACCGACTCGACAGCACTTAATAACAACAAATAATCTTCTAACATATTTTACGAAATGATTTTACCAAATGAGGTACTGTTACATCTAAAAATATTGTTACTGTAAAATTTATTGAGAATGTTTATAATCTGCTACTACTATAAAGGAGCTCTGGTAGCGTAGTGGTTATGAATCGGGCTGTTAATCTCACGGTCAGCAGTTCGAAACAACCAGCTGTTCTATGGGGGAAAGATGAGGCTTTCTGCTCCCGTAAAGATTTACAGCCTCGGAAACCCTGTACAGGGTTGCTATGAGTCGGAACCAACTCCACGGCACATAACAACAACAACAACAACTACTATAAAAAGTGCTTCATGATGAAACAACCTTATACAAATATTTCTCTTTGCCAAAAACATTCCACTTCGGTGGTATTGCTATGTTTGCGAGTATACAAATCTTAAAGTTTCTGATAAATTAGTATAAATGTATATAGATTTAAAAAATATGCATATAAAGCAAAAAATTGAAGGAGTTGATTTTTCACTTCGTTCAAACATATATCATACCTATATATACCAAGTAGGAATTATGGAACTCAACAAATTATTCCCATTAGAAAACTTCCATAGTTTTTTTTAAAGTACATTTCATTATCCAAGGGTTTCGTTAAGTCCTACAAGGCATATATATATTCCTGACCTGAATAAAATTCTAGGTATATTGTGGACTTCTATTTCTCTTTCTAAATTGAGATGGTTGTAAAGAAAGCATTTTGACATAGGCAAAGAGCTGGCGGTACTGAAAACAAGAAAAATAAGCAACCACGTTGATACTGCTTTTATCAAAGTTCTTTTCCACATGCTGAAAACTATGAAACCAGAGAGGAACTTTAATTAAACATATTGTAAAACTCCCTGTATCTACACTAACATAACAACAAAAACAAGTTACGGCTGTTGGTTTCTTTAGTAATGAGTAAATTTTATAGTATATATTCCACTAATGAGAATCACTATTTCATTGACTGAATTTGAGAAGCAACATTTACTAACCCTACCAAATTTGCTTTATTGTAACATCTGGAAAAACATCATGTTGTGGTTGTTGTTAAGTGCCTTTGAGTCGGTTCTGACTCATAGCGACCCTGTACAGGGTTTCCGAGACTATAAATCTTTACAGGAGCAGAAAGCCTCATCTTTCTCCTGCGGAACAGCTAGTAGTTTCAAACTGCTGACTTTAAGGTTCGCAGCCCGATTCGTAGCCGCTACACTACCAGAGCTCTCTGGAAAATAAAAAGCTCTCTGACAATATTAAAAACGTGTCATCAAAGGTTTTAAGGACTTATTTTCAGCAGATCCAAGGGAATTCAAGACAATGTACCTTACCTTTAAGGAACAACAGATTATTAAGAGCTAAAAAAGATCCTAAAGGTAATTTAGTCAAATGATCATTTTACAAATGAGACAATGTAGAGCTGAGCAATCCAGTTAGTAGTGTCTTCATTAAATGAGACAATGTGAAATATCAAACAGAGTATAATAATACAAAATACGTAGTATATCCTAATCAGTGAAGTGACAATAAATGGCTTAGTAAGAAATGTGTTACTTGAGGGTTATGCTAAAGAAATCATTTTTTAATTAAATTCAAAATGGAGGGGGTAGACTATTTTAGATCTTACTCAGCCTTATCCCCAGACAATTGCAACTTATCCTCATCTCCCCCACCACTCTGTTACAAAGTCTATCATATTGTCTGGCTTTGAGTGATTCCCTCATGTATACTTTTAATGGATTTCAAACTAAATAAAATAGAGGAGGCTATTATCTGCCACCAAGATTATTTATCTTTCCCTTCCAAAGACAAATAAAACTGCACATTTCTTGTTTGTATGGTTCAAATTGCTTAATGAAATTTAACAAAAGCAAAAGTAAGTGCTTATATTCTGACTAAGGAATTTAATTCTAGTCAAATTAATTGTCTTGTTTAAAATTTACATTCAATTAGTAATAAACCTGAATTAGTCTCCTCATGGTGCCTTCAAAATACCGGGCCAATATTAACAGTGGTTTCTGAGGGGATCTACTGGGCCAGTTAAATTCAAAACAGAGAGGATAGTTCAGAAGGTTATGGTAACTGTTTTATGGGTTTCCAAAAGGGTAATCTTGATAGATTTTCTCAAAGGACACAGAATGATCAAGGGGGCTTATTAGGAATTAGTTTTATGAAAATTGAAAATTGCATTGGTGATTTAAAAAAAAAGTACAGGAAAGCTGTGTCGAGTAATATTTTCCATCAAGACAATGTAGCTGCTGAATCTTCTAGGGTAACAATACTGCACTTTGAGAATTCACTGGGAAAGCTTATCGCATCCACCCTATCTTGTCCACTGTTCAGAGTCAATGCTCACTGAAGCAGAGTCAAGAAACCAAAAGATGTATTGCATTAGGCAAATTTGCTGCAAAGGACCTCTTAAAAGTATTAAAGAGCTAAAATGTCAATTTGAGGACTAAGGTGTGACTGACTGAAGTCATTGTATTTTTAATCTCATACTCATGTGAAAATTGGACAATGAACAAAGCAGACCAAAGAAGAATCAATGCATTTAAAATACTGAAAGTATCCTGGACCTCCAGAAGAACAAACAAATTTGTCTTGGAAGAAGTATACTCTTGGGAAGAATGTGTCAGGATACAAGTATTTGTTCCTAAGAAAAACGTGTCACCCCTGTGATAAGCACCCTTTCTTAGTCTAGTGGCTGATCTTTATATTTTAAAGGACTTTAAACTGAAACTGATATTATCAATCATTAACACCCATACTTTGCTCTGTTTTCTGTTTATAAGCACCCTTCTCTGCTTAAAAGCTGAAGCACTTTGGATTTTTCACTTTGTGCTGCCCAGCCTGAACTGTGAACATTGGACAATTCCTCAATACAACTTTTTTCTTTCATTCTTAACAGAGTATAAAATGGTCTTCTCTCAATTATATCAGTCAACATAGTTTTCCAGTAAAGTTTTGTATGTTTTGAAGCAAAATAAATATCATATAATCAAAACAATAATTTCTTAAGAATTAACATACATATTAAAACAAAACTAAATAAAACTTTTACTTTGACAACTCACATTTCCTGACGACTCTCAAGGTGTGCTGTGTTTACGCTCACATACTCAGAAGTAGTTCCCACCTTCCTTCCAGTGAAACATGCCCAGTTCCGGCCCAGCACATCATGTACCCACCCTGGCAACGTCTCGTGGCAATAACTGGTTACCTTGCTGCCCTCTTGTTTGTACTGCAATTAAATAAAGGAAGCAAAGTCCAAATAAAATCAGGGTCCAACTCTCAAATCCACTACTCTAGCTTTATTCAAGGCAAAGATGCTCACTTTTGTCTCACCTTAAGGATATGCCTATGCCAGTAAAGCTATGAGTCAGAACTGATGCGATGGCACTTAACAACAACATGCCAGTCAAAACAAATACTTCATTCTAAGAGACTACATTCTGAGAATTATTCTAGAAAAGGAAGAAAAGTGTACATGATAAAATAATTCTGGGTGTCATACAATTTTAGAACATTTGTCACATTCTAGACGTACTACACATTACTGTATTTAATCATAGTAAAATAGTCAGGAATCAGTAAACCCATTTACAAGTGAGAAAGTAGAGGCTTAGCTCAGAGAGGATATGTAATTCTTACCTATGGTAGTGTGATGGTTAAGGTTGTATGTCAAGTTGGCGTGACATGGTTCTCTAGTTTGGCGGCTATGATGTAGTCATCCCCTATGATGAGATCTGCTAGGAGCAGTTAATCAGCTGACATATTTGTGCAATGTGGTCTGCATCAAATATATATGGTCATTCAGGCAAAGCTCGCTAACTTTGTGTTTGCTTTGGAGCCTGCATCTGGCACTGATTAACGGACATTTGGTTCTCGACACTTGAGGAAGCAGACTTCCATACTGCCTGCTGACCTTGGATATGTCAATCTGTGCGTCTGAAACCTACTGTCTGAACTGCCAGTGTTGGAATCATCAGATCCTATAATTTCATGAGTCAGATGCCTCCAACCTGATGTCTGACGCATGGACTTGAGACTTGCTAGTCTCTGCAACTATTTGAACCATTTCTTAATTTCCTTGGAATTATATATATATATAATTTCCTTGGAATTATATATATATATAATGTCATTGTATACATATGACATTAAAAACAACTATGTTGTTGTTGTTGTTGAGTGCCATCGAGTCGGGTCCGACCCATAGCGACCCTGTACAGGGTTTCCGAGGGTGTAAATCTTTACGGGAGTAGAAAGCCTCATCTTTCTCCCGCAGAGTGGCTGGTAGTTTCGAACCGCTGACCTTAAGGTTCGCAGTCTCAATTTCCAAGGAAATTGAGAAATATATACATATATAGTTGGTGTTGTTAAGTGACGTTGAGTCAGTTCCAACTCATAGCGACCCTACACAGGGTTTCCGAGGAGCACCTGCTGGGATTGAACCACCAACCTTGTGGTTCACAGTCAAGTGCTTATCCTATAGAACCACACCAGAAGTCTATATATGTCAAAACTCCCATCCATGTCCATGGCGGATGAGAACATAGAGCATGTGAAATGGTTCTGTTGAATAATCAAGTGACAGGGGATTACATGGCAAATCATTTGAAAATCAGCCATGGCTCTGCCCATAAAATAATCCACGATAGACTTGGGTGCAAGATGGGTACCAAAACAACTCATGGAGGAGCATAAACAGAAAAGTTTGGACATCTGCAAACAAAATTCGGACCAATACTTGAAGGAAGGTAAAAGTTTCATAAAAAATCGGTACTGGTTAAGAAAGATTTATTCATTACTACATGGCTGAGAATAAACATCTGAGTATGGAATAGAAACATCCTTATTGCCAACCAAGAAAAAGTTCAAATGTCAGCCATAAGCTGGAAAATTGAGGCTTATAGTTTTTTGGATTCTCAAGGGCCAGTACTGGAACACTATCAAGAAAAAGAATCAACAGTCAGCACTGTTCATTACGGTGAGACGCTCAGTGAAGAGCTGAACCCTAAACATTGTGCTAAATGCAGAGGTCTGCTATCCAAGGGTGTTGTGATCTTGCATGACAGTGCACATCCACACACCTCTGCCCACACTGTTGACACACTGCAAAAACATTTTAAAGTGTTAAAGCATCTTCCCTATAGTACTGATTTTGCTCCATTAAACATTCACCTGTTAGGTCCCCTGAAAACAGTGCTTTGAGAACAAAGAGTCACCCCTGATGAAGAGGTAAAGACAACAGAGCATTTGAGGCTCACAGCTCAGCCTAAAATATTTTTTAATAGGAAATATGAAAGTTTGTTGACAGATGGACAAAGTGTATTGAAAAACAAGGAGACTATGTAAAAAATGATATATTTGTCTATTCTGAAAGGTGATTAAAATAAATTCTACAGCCAGAGTGCGGATCATTTTTTATTCATACTCGTGTGTGTGTGTGTGTGTGTGTGTGTGTGTGTGTGTGTGTGTGTTTGTGTATGCATAGAAGAATGAGTCAAAAATGATATGCACTCTGGCTGCAGAATTTATTTTAATCAAACCCACCAGCTGCACCTTGAAAACCCTACACAGGGTTGCTGAGTTGGAACAACTCAATGCCACTTAACTACAATATAACCCATTTATCAACTATCTGTCTATTTTATTTCACTAATATACGCTTTTGTCTTATCTAAATATTTATACTGAACTATAAGATATAAAGCTAGAATTTGAACCCAGATACTTTGGTTTCCGAGTCTAATGGTATCATATTATACTATCTCCTCACAGAGGTAATACCGAATATACACAAGAGTGAATTTTAAAAAAAAATGTCATGCTAAATTTCTAGGAAGTAAGGGCTGGGCACAGGCAATTTTCAGACACTGACTTATTTATGGAACAGATGATTATTTGTGGGACTTCAGATAAAACTTTAATAGGCCTCTATAAAATAAGCAAAGTGACAAAATGTCCTCACAAGTGTTATTTCAGGATTCCATGACATAATGCAAGGTTCAGCAAATTTTTTCTAGAAAGGGTCAGACAGTCAATGTTTTAGGATTTGCAGGTTACATGGTCTCTATCCCAAGTACTCAACTTTGCCTCTGTAGCACAAAAGCAGCTAAAGAAACAATAGGTAAGACAGCAAAGCTGTCGGCATTTCAATAAAAAGATGGTCTTTATTCTCCCCTATAACATGAGCTCTGGTAGCATATAGTGGTTACAAATCAGGATGTGAACCTTAAGGTGAGCAATTCGAAACTACCAGCTGCTCCACGGGAGAAAGATGAGGCTTTCTGCTCCCATAAAGATTAACAGCCCTTTGGAAACCCTGTACAGGGTCGCTATGGGTCGGAACCAACTCGATGGCACATAACAACAACAACAACACTACTAACCCTCTGACATTGAATCCATGTCATCTCACTGTGACCCTGTAGGATGCTGAAATAAAATTCTATGACATTGCTGGGTTGTAATGTCAGAGGTGTGTGCTGTGTGAAAAGGTTAATGAAAGTTATATCTATATACAAAGAGCTTCAAAAATCTGTGGGAAAATGGAAACGAAAAATAGTAGAATTTTTCCATGAACTTTTTGAAACCCCTTTATATTATGTTGAACCACAGACAATTACTATTTACAACAGTCAAATATTGGTAACCTCATATGGTTCCAACCCAAACTTCTCAAAGTTCAAATGTTGCTCATTGTTACTGGATCTTCTATTCTCCACTGCTGTATGCTGCTAAAACAGAACAGGTGAGGCTAAGCCAATGCCTCTCCCCAGCCCAAACTTATTCAAAAAGCAATCTGACAATGTTTTAAAAGTTCTTACAGAAATCATCACATGCATGTAACCCAAAGATATGTTATCCACACAAAGTTGCTCATTATAACAAAAAAGATAAAAAGTAAAAAACCAAACAAAAACAAGAAAGAAGAGTAATATCCTAAATGTCCAAAGACAGGATTGAATAAATACATCATAATACAGGTTTCTGTCACTTAATGCCCATAGTTTGCTCTATAATAGGATATTATGTGATGCAGATGTTGAGTGAAGACCAATTTTACATATAAAGTACATATGTTGTCAACATTTGATACATGTTTATCATAGCAGCAACATCCCCACCCCCACCAGAGTTGCTCTGGCTGTTAGCACCCAGTCTTGGAGTTTGCACAATGTACATCTGCAGCTGACTGTCTCCGGGCACGCATGGAGCCTGGTCAGAGTCAGAAGCCCAGAGGGCTGCAACTGAGTGGCTGCAGTCCAGCATCTCCCTGCTGCACTGATCTGTGTGTCAGGTGGGCAGGGTATGCAGTAGTGGCAGCTGAAGAAACCACAACAGCTACAGCTTGGTTGCTGAGCAGCTCAGAGACTAGAAGCTGCACCTTGGCTCAAGGTCTCCAGTCATGTCAAGGCAGCAGGTGGAGTTGAGCGTAGTTGCCTCAGCACAGCAAACTCCCCACAATCCCAGTCTCCTGGTGACCTACCAAGTAAGCCCTTCCTCCCATCCCATGGACTTATAAGGGGGTTTAAGGACAAAGCCCCTCCTCCCATCCCATGGACTTATAAGGGGGTTTAAGGAAGTTCATGGAAATACTCCATTACCTTTTAATTACATTTTTTCCACAAATTTTCTGAACCCCCCTCATATATGCAATTGGATACTACCCAAACAGATGTTATATGGGCACGTTCCTAGACAGAAGTGTCTGTTCCTAACTGTGTTCTCAAGAATTTGTCAGGACTTCAAACCCAGTTTAATAATGGCTAAGGAAGCATCACCAGAACACACCTGAATTATTACAATTTCAGTGAAAATGAAACATAGTCAGAATGTAAAAAATTACATGTCAAAGCTTTGCTAGAAACTTAACTTTCCTCTCACAGTAGAAAGACATGTATGTAATGCCTAACAAACAAATCTCTTGCCCTTGGATTTCAAGCATACCCTAAAAAAGATGGTGGTGACCCAGTCAAAGATGGGGGCCAGCCATTATACTTTGAATGTGTGTCGCTCTCCTAGAGTCCTACCAATAATCCAGTTCCACACATTAGGTTCCTAAAAGGATTCTTTCAAAAAAACCTCCCATTCTAGGGCTTCGACTCAGGATTTTTCCCATCCTAGGTACCATGCCGAATCTGTTCATGTTTCCCTTCATTGCCTTAACAGAATTGGTTTAAATGAGTTGTCTGTAAGTTGGATGCTGCTAACTCAGGGACTGCTTATATATTA